AAATTATGGTACATGTACAGGTAAATCATAGATTGTTAACAAACCTTGTAGAGGCACTTGACTTTTTATCTGGTTTCTTTTTGAAAATACCCATGGCATGTTCCTTGACAAGAAGAAAAACACAATAAGGACAGTCACTTCTTATTACTAATAATTGTGAAGCAACAGTTTGATTTTTCTCAAATCAGTGTCAAATGAAACCTTTCATGAACAAGAGAAAGAATATTTAAAGCAGTTAACTATTTACTTCAACATAAGTTACAAATGTACTGGTACACTTGTCAAACATGTACCTCCACACCTGTTTGTCTTAAATTTTGCAAAGTGATCAATAAATGCCCAGCACAAATTGCTGAGCCTAGCAGTATACACATGAATTTGAAGTTGATCTGACTCCCCAAAGAGTTGTCTGTGGTACAGTGGTAAAGCATTGGTACAGTGGAACCCCTCTAAACCGGACCCTCATTAAACCATAGACCTCTCTTTACCGGACCATTTTTTTAGTCCCAAAATCTGTCACACATTTTCTCTTTTTTAACCTCAGTAAACCAGAACCCCTCACTTCCGGAAACTGGACTCTTTTTTCAGTCTGTAATCACATACTGACAAAGAAATTGACCTTGTTAAACTGGACGTGAAAGTTTTAGGCTTGCTGCCAAAATCAAATCACACATTTTTAAACATGATTAAAATTAAAATTGTAATCATGCAGCTGTGAAATCCCAATCAGAAGCGAGAAATATGTATCGGCTAATTACTCATTGTTCTATCGGTTCTGAAGCAAAAAATCCAAAGTTGACAATCGTGCCGCTGTTGTTGGGTTGAATGAATGACAAAAATAGGGGTCAGGTTAATTGTTTGTTCCTTTATTACTAATGTGCTTTATTGATGCTCGTGTATCATGTACTGGTAATTACAGTCAGACAATACAATATACAGCGTAAAATTGCCTTATGGGTAAAACCTCAGTATACTGGACACCCCTCTAAACTGGACATTTTTTCCGGTCCTAAGGGTGTCCAGTTTAAAGGGGTTTCACTGTACATGCAATTCTAAATTGTGGGGTTTGTAACCTCATGGGGAAATGAATCTTTTTGATATCCCACACTTGTGGCAAGAAGCATGAATATTTCTTTGTTGAACTTCCCTTACTAATAATTATTAATAATAGTTTTTATACTTGATTGTGACTGTCGATACTTGTGCAGTTGAAACTTTTGATTCTTAATTGATTGAAGGGGGGATCTCGTATTTCTTTGGATTTTTCCAAGCGTGGTTGGAAAGAGCTAAAGATTTGCTGATGGATTATGGCAGCACTCCATGCATGCACAATTTGCACAGAAAGCTGCCATCTTGAACACATTTTATGTGCACTTAGGTGCTGCTATTCCTGTGGCTGGTACTGTACATACCCTTTCCCTTTGTTCTTGCTCTCGTTCCTTTCTCCTTTTAATCTGGCGCATTAACATTGGATATGGCATTTTCTGACCCTTTGGTGCCTACAGATATTGTATACACTGATTTAAGTAAATC